GCGACGCAAACCGAGGCGCAGGAGAGCGGCCCAGGCGCTGAGAGCCTGAGGGAGCGGCACGGCGCCAGTTCTTGGCGCTGAGCTAAGGCATTACCCGGGGTCATCCCGGCAGGTAATCAGTTAAATAAATGGACTATTACATGCATTAAACGTCGGTCTCTTCTGCAGAGGTTAATCTCTCTGCCAATATTGTAAACTCTAGTCACAAAACTTCTCCATGATAGTCATATAGAGGTGTTTTCTGAATCAACATTTAGGTAGTAACATTTAATAAGTTAATGTTTTCCTATCTTGTCTTATCAGGTCAGACTGCAAACCCAGCCTAAGCCACAGCCTGGTCAACCCCCACTCTATTCTGGGACCTTTGACTGCTTCCGAAAGACTCTGGTTGGAGAGGTACTGTGTGAATGTGTCACTTGTGATGCCTGCCAAAAATATCAGTTGTTCCTGTACATTGCAGGAGTGGAATTGTGTGGGAATGTTGCCCACCAGAGACTATAATTCTTGGCTTGTCAACTGAATTGATTCCACTTAAAATTTTTAAGTAATTACAAAAGTTGGGGAATACTTAGCATCCACATGCTCCAGGTGCGTGTCTCTGTTTTGTTAGGAAATGCTTTTAGTACAAAATAGCACAATGTTAATATCTGAAGTTATAGACTGGAACGAATGTTGGCAGTTCCTTGCTGGCTTTGTTGTAGTCAGTGGAATCTTGCTGTCTTTGGTATCTGGAGATGTCTCTAGAAATCCTAAAATGGGCAATGACTTTTGTTGCTACAAGTCATTCTTTCTTCTATAATGTGTTATGCCATCTGTGAGAAGGCAGAGGAACTTCAATAGATTTTTTCTTTTTTTTTTTTCTTTTTTTGAGAACAGTGGGTTGTATTTTGTTCATTCTTCTTCAGAAGGTGGATAGTGGTTTTCACTCCAGAATCAGCCATATCTCATGACTGAGCTGTAGTCTGTTTTCTTTTTAGAATGCCTGCAGCGTTCCTTTAAAACTGTAAGTGACAGAGAATCCAGTTTTCTGCTTCGTACATTTTCCCAGCAGCTGTTTACCATTTGGAAAATGCTAGAAAGCCCAGTCGTTTTTTTACTAGTCTGAAGTCTAATTTCCAACCACTGGATCTTGTTAGGAAACTCTGTTCAATGGAAGATCTGTCTCATATCTCAAATCTACTTTCATTATGGTATTAACAGGCTGTTATATAAGCCGAGTAAATCTTGCTTCCCTGGTCGCTCCCACAAAGTGCTGAAATACTTTGCTAGCTCTGAATCCCTTGTGGTTTTTAACACCCCTGCTGAAGCACAGACGTCAGAGCTGAACCATAATAACAGCCTTGTGATGTGAAGTTCAAAAGTAACGCCGCCTCTCTACTCCTACTCAATACTCATCAGTTTCTATAAGGAAAACTATTAAACCTCTCTGCCGAGGCCTTTTGTTTCCCACTGCTCATGGGAAGACTGAGTGGGAGTGTCTGGTCCTTGTCAGGCAGATACAATGTCATTACAGAGTCAGTTGTGCCTGGGCCTGTACAGACACCTACTGGGATACACTGATTCGTTTAGGGCAGACAGACCAGCAAATATTTAATTTGTGCATCTAACCTTTATCTGGAAAGATAACTCGCTTTATTAGAAAAAAGTTCAGTTCAAAGGCAAGATAAGTTAAATAAAAGCTACTGCTGGGGTCTGTGTCAGAATTTTTCCACATGTGTAGTCTGGTGAAGGGAAACATCAGGAGCATTAACTTGTACAGTGAAAAAGTTTTGACTTACGGAAGGAAAAAAATACTTTGCTCTTGACCTCATTCCAGACTGAGTTCCTGTGGGGAGTGAAGCAGTTTGGGTTAGTCCCCGTGGCTCTTCCTTTATCTGAAGAGTGAATTCAATTCAGCGTTCTCAGGCTCGGGGTCGGGGTTTTACTCTGTTGTGTGTGATGACTTATCAGTAAAGTACCTGTGTGGTTTTTGTATCTGAGAGAAGACTTTCAACATAATACATTAGGACTGTTATTCAGGTGGCTTTTAACTTAATTTCCTCATGCTTGAGATGTAAGTACAGGCTGAATAGTATTAGAACAGAAGGGTGTAAGTGGTGCCAGTGTTTTCCAGGAAGGATAGCTTTCCTCTGCATCAGGCTCTGAGCCTCAGCTAACCATGTGCGACTGCAAATGAACAACAGACCCATTTATTCCTCTGATTAATTTGACCACCTGACTGATACTATCCTGTATTTTAGCCTTTCACCTCCCAATAGGTTGAAATTACCAAGTAATTCTTGTGGTAACATTTCTTGCAGGGCGTCCGAGGTTTATACAGAGGAATGGCAGCTCCTATCATCGGAGTGACACCCATGTTTGCTGTGTGCTTCTTTGGATTTGGCCTGGGAAAAAAACTCCAACAGAGAAAACCTGATGATGTTTTGACGTGAGTTTCTGAGTTAATCAGACATTTGGGAAAGGCACCCTCACGCTCCAGCAGCCTGCTGTATTGTCACACATTGAGTTGTGGTGTAAAATTGTCACTTCTCCTAGGTTAAAAATATAGTTTTGAAAAATAAAACACTTGTGTGTTCTAATGCTTCTGGAAGCGTGGGACTGATAGCACAGGCTAAAAAGAGAGAGTGTGTGGGCAGGTGCTATCCAATTCCCTTTCTACGCAAGAAGGAACCATTAAGGAGCAATTCTGTTTTAGATGAGCACAGCATGAGATATATAATGATTGCCTGCCAACAGTCTCACTATTAACAGAAACATGGGAGAAATAAATTCATGGTCATCAGCCTTGATGCCATTCACAGCTCTCATTCTCTTTCCCCTGTTAGTTGTGACTCTTGCTGTGTCCTTACATTAAGATGTAATAATAGCTGTAGAAATGTCTTATTATTAATTGCTGAAAAGAGGTGTGTATAAGCAGCCCTCCTCTCGGGCATGTCTAGCCCTCTGGAAAAGAGTTTGGAAGCTAAGAAAACTGCATGGCTTTCTACAAGCTAACTTATGCATGAAGAAAGCCCCCCACCCATAAAGTACTCCCTTGACGTCTTTGCTGAATCGTGATTTATAGCTCTACAGGAACAGACCTGTAGCTTAGCAACATTTTATTCTGTTCTTTGTGGAACAAGTAGGAGCCCTGTCAGAGAGCAGGAGTCCATTGTGTTGAGCCAAGCGTGGGGAGGTGGTTTCTGCTGGAGCTTTGTGTGGTGGCTGTCCCGGTGGGGTGAGTGCCTCTGGCCGTACAGCACGAGTCACCGCCGTGGTGTGGGGCGAGCTCCCTCTGCCTGGGGTGCTCGGGGGGAGGCAGTGCCAAGACACTGGGCACTGCTGGCTTACCCTCTGATTTACCACAGTAGTGTCCTCGTGCAGAGGAGCCTGGAGAGTAGAACCAGGGGAGCAGTAAGGAGTGGAGAAGTAAGGAAACAAATGGGCTGTGAGCTTATTTCCAGCAGCTTAATCACCAGAGTGCCTTGTGTTTAATGCACGTGATATTAAAGGGGAGTTTTAAGGAGCAAGCTGGAGGAAGGCAGTGTAGTTTTCTGAGTCTTTCTGCAGCACTCCTCAAGCAGAGCAGTAGTAGAGAAGGAACAAAGGTCAGCAAATAGGTGGTGGAACTGTAGTGCCCAGCTGCACTGTACCTAAGGTGCAGACTTCACACACTAAGATACAGTGTGCGTGGGACTTGAGGCCCCAAGAGAAAGGTCAGACTCTTAGCACCATGGTTATGGAGGAAGATGGGGTGGCAGTAGTTCCCCATGCTGATTTCAAAGGGAAGTTTTGGAAGGAAGGAGGTGGAGAGAAACCTGGAATTCTGTTCTATTTTGGGGTTGAATAATCCCAAGGTGAGCTAGAAAACTCAAGGTTTGAGCAGGAGGAACATGTGGAGTGGTGAGGGACATCTGAATGGTCTGGAAGATTTAATGGGAATTTAAGAGTAAAGAAAGGTGTAAGAATTGGAAAACTTGCCATGAATGCCATCTCTTGGGCAAGTGGAGAGAACTGGGAGGTGTGGAATTTAGTTAAATTGATTTCTTAGGTCATCTTACTAGAGAATGTGGCAGCATGTTGGATGTAAAAGTAAGTTTATGATGGAGAAACTCAGCCTGTTTAAGGGATTTCTGTTGTGGAGACTTTGCCCCATGAAAGCAGGTGCAGAACGTGTGGGATGATGGCGAGTTGGTAGGACAGACTCAGCAATGGCAGAGGCTGACTGAGAGACTACAGAAGGGAGGCTCCTGGCTGCACAGGCAGGGATATGTGTGGAAGCTGGAGTCACTGAGAAGCGTGTAGGAGACTGGAGGAGGAAGGAACTGTGGGGAGTAAGAATCGATGGGGAATTCTGTAGCAAAAAAACACAAGTACAAGGAATATTCAAAAATACAATGGATGCAAAGAAACGAGTTATGGTTGCTGTGGGAACCAGTGCTTTGAATCCTAGAGATCTTAAATGTTTAGCTGTTATTATGCACTGATGAGGCACTGATCAAAGGCTGTGGATGCATTTCTAGTTCTGCCAGCCTGGTGTGTGACAGCATAACCTGGTGATAAGGGGTCTTTCTGCCCTGCCTTTCCTGTGTTCCTGTGCGTTAGGGTGTCTTCTCTTTCCTCGGGGCAGATATCCTCAGCTGTTTGCTGCTGGCATGTTGTCAGGAGTGTTCACAACAGTAATCATGGCTCCAGGAGAGAGAATCAAGTGCCTTTTACAGGTAAGGCATTGGATGGTGATGGTGGAAATTTAATTTTAAGGGTCTTGTCTTCCCATACCAGGAACTTCTTTGGTTAGTGTATTTACTCTGTTGTTTTTTGACAAGACTGAGACAACTGTCATTTAATGCAACTGTGTCACAAAGGAGCATTATACAAACTCACCATGCCAGTATGAGTACTTGCAGCATTCATTGCTCTTTGTTTTACAGAGCACAAGCCTTCTACTATGTGGCATTATATGAGGTATTGGTGGATGCCTCAGCCCACTTCAGAGTGTGGAAAAGACAACTTTTTCAGAATGAAACTTTTTCTAAAAAAAAATGCAAAGCTGCTAGGTCATAAGACTCCTTCTAGTGTGAGCATTATCTATTACCTTGACAGGTTCCCAGTACATAACTAAGGAATCAGTTTCAAAATACATGAAAGAGTTTTCTAATGTTTGGGTGACTGTTAGCTCTACAACTCCTTCAGGGTTGTTAAAGTATTGTTGGAAAATGTGAACCTGAACAATGAAAATACCATCTTCAGCAGAGATGGGAAGCTTTGCTTATGTCAGGCTGCATTGAACTCCGTTGGTATGGTGATGAGTGGTCACATTGTAGTTCTGACAGACATGATGTTATTATGGAAGATTTTATACACATATAAATTGTTTGAATTTTACTAAACTGTTTGAAGGCTACTTTTTTTTTCAGCACAAGTTTAGAATAGCCTGTCTTCAGTTGTTTCAAACTTAACACTGGGGAAAAATGAGGGAGAGCCTAGCCCCTGCATGGAAGAGTAAATGTAGGCTCATCTCAACGAGGAGAGCACTGATGGAGGAGACAGCAGAGGTTTCACGTGCAGGAGTGCCTGTGGAACAAGGGTGTGCTCCTTCCTCTCTAGAATCACATGGCTTTCTGACTATGAGCTGAATGATTGGTCACTTGCCTTCACTTCACCTTCACTGGTCAGAAACTATCACTTTAATCCTTCAGATCCAGGCAGCTACAGGTGAAACTAAATACAGTGGCTCGTTGGACTGTGCAAAACAGCTGTACCGTGAGGCTGGGATTCGTGGCATCTACAAGGGGACAGTGCTCACCCTCATGAGAGGTAACTGGTGGAGACCTTCTGATGCTGCTTCTGCGTGAGGTACTTTCAGATAAGGAACCTGACATAGTATCGTAGATCTCGCTGTCCCTTTAGCCAATTGGAGATGCTGTGTCACCCTCTTTTCTTTTTTTGCAGTCTGCAGAGCCACTCCAATGCCTCAAAGGGACTGAGAAATAAACATGAGATCCTCAGTGAGTGAGGAAGATACTAGATGACAAGGATCATCTAATATATAGAGGGATATAGGAAGTAATTAAGAACTGAGAAGCCAAGTGGAATGAGAGACTTCAGGAGAGGAGCAGAGAGGACAAAGAGAAAAGGAAAATGCAGAAGTGGGGCTTTTTTGTCTTTTTTTTTTTTTTGTTCTTTTTTTTCTTGTCTTCCTTGGGAGAAGGACTATGACTGTTATGTTTTGTACCTGCTTGAGCGTGGGTTTTATTTTGGACTGGGATGTCATGACCCCTCTCACAGCAACAAAGTAATCATGCCAGATGCTGAATCCTTTGTGTTTTGGTACTTTCTCCTTTGAAAAGCATTAGATTGTTCCATGTCCTGGGGCAGTGTTTTCAAAGGATAAGCTGAAAGTTCTATATTTTGACATCTCAGTTTAGGAATTTGTTCTATCCTCTGCTTCTCATAGAAGGGAGCAGCTAGGAGTCTAACTCTGACTGTGTCCCTAGCCAGAGGTTCTCCAGCCTAGGCATGAGCTAAGAATGGGCTGTGGGACTGCCTTAAAAACAAAACCAAACCCATCAACTACACAAAAAGAACCAAAATAGAATCATGAGAAAAAATGGTGCTCAAAACTCTTGAAGTTCCTGTACTACTCTGATCTGCTATGCAGCAATTAAAAAAGCTTAGAGTTGTGTCATCATTAGTTTAATGGAGAGTAGACAGTTTACAGCCTGAGTTGAAAGGTTGCTGACAGAAGTGCTTGAGAACAGATATTTTCCCAATTCTTGCCTTCAGCACCTGCTTTCCCTGGGAAAGTTCAGGCTCCTCAGTCCAGAGCAACAGAAGATTTTATTTTGTTTGTAGAGGAGGTTCAGAAAAGGAATCTGAATGTACTTAATGGTGTTGCTGTGCTGGCATGGGGCTGCTGTGCCTCTGGGCTTCATTTCATTTCCCACTACTCAAAGTCTTTGTTGTTTACCCACCAGATGTCCCAGCCAGTGGAATGTACTTCATGACGTACGAATGGCTGAAGATAAAGAGGTTAGTGAAATCTCAGTCATCATTTTCTGGGCTTCCCAGACACTGCTCATTAGTCTCCCCAGTTACAAGGAGATATAGAGCAGTATCATCAAAACAATTTTTTTTAAAAAAGAAGGGTCGCTTGTCGTGTGAGTTGAGCTACATTGATCTGGGGTTAGCTGGCAAAATGGCATTCTGAGTGTCTCTCAGATTCTAGCCTTGGATGTTATTGGCCAAGTAAGGAATACTTAAAGTAGGTCTCTTCACTTTCACCCCTGTGTATGCAAAAAAGAACTGTTTTCTTTTTTATTGTTGGATTGTTCTTTCCCCAGAGCATCTGTGTGCATGCTGCTGAATGAAAAGATTTGAACCTCTAGGGTGCAGTTAGTACATTTTGCACATAGGGCTGTGATTCTTGGAAATCTTGCTCAGTTAGTGCACTGTCTGCAGCATTGTGCTGCCTTTTGGCTGTCAGTCAGCCTGCCTCTTTGATTGTCACCTTAGTCAAAATAGATGAATTTTTACTTTGTTTTTCTTTCTTTCTTTCTTTCACTTTTTTTGTTTTTTCCCTTTTTCCTCCTGCCCCAATCCTGCCACAGTGTGAGTGAGCTCAGTGTGCCAAGGATCCTCTTTGCTGGGGGCCTGGCTGGGATCTTCAACTGGGCAGTTGCCATTCCACCAGACGTGCTGAAATCCCGTTTCCAGACTGGTGAGTTGTGCGCCAGGCTGTCACGGCCACGCTCAGGGTGGTGCTCCTGGCAACGGGCTGGGCAGCGATGGAAGCTGCCATCTGAGCGTGACATTTGGGAGGTGGCATGTCTTGAGCACTGCCTGAGACGTGTACCTAAAAAACCCAAGTGTGTTCCTAGTTTTCAGTTGGTCTCCTCGCAGATTTTTGCCAAATCAGGCTGCACTTCTCTGTTTCTTCCTCCATGCTAATATAATGATCCAAATTTGAGATACCTGCTTTGAAACCTGAGCACAGAAGTCATAATAATGACTTCTTGTCATGGTTGTTTTATTATAAATTTGATTCTTCAAGAGGTTTTGTTATTTCACTTCAGACATAGTTGTATGAATTAGGCTGTGCTATCTGAAATGCCTAGCAACTGGTGTGCCATGCTGAGGGCACTGCTTTTAGAGCAGCTCTGCTCTTGAGTATCTGTGGTCTAATTGCAGTGAGAAGAGCCCCAGGCCTTGCACTGCAGCAAAGTTTGACAGATTTTTCATTGGTTACTCTGGGAGCCCTAGTCAATGATAGGGACATTGTCTGTTTCTCATAAACCAGCTTCATCCATTTTTATATCTGACCTTTTTATCTCCTAATTGCAGCTCTGGGGAGAGCTGTGATCAGCAGTGTAAGTAACAGCTGAGACTTCCAACACTGATGAAAGTTCCTCTCCTGTCTTCTCTGCCCCCAGTGGTTTGCTGAGATAAGTTCTTTGTAGTGATGGCACCTACCTTCTGTTTACTGATCTTTAGTAAGGTGTCCTTTTTGTTTCCTTTCTTTTGACTGAAGTAGATTGTTTTTCCCAAGAAGATGTTGTCACAAGGTAGCTTAAGCACTGTTTGGATTCTGGTGTCAGCTAGCTGGTGTAGCAATACAAACCTGTTCAAAATCCTGGGCTGTTACCTGTGCCATGTCCTTCAGCACTTGTGGCTGCCACACATCTTAGCTAATGTTTGTTGTATCCCTTTCAGCTCCTCCAGGAAAATATGCAAATGGCTTTAGAGATGTGCTGAGAGAACTCATCAGAGAGGAAGGAGTTGCATCTCTGTATAAGGGCTTCACAGCTGTCATGATCAGGGCGTTTCCAGCTAACGCGGTACGTAAATTGCAGTTCCAGATTTTGGGTTCTGGGGACCTGGCAACTCGCAGTGAGTGTTTGCAGTCCAGAGAGGAGAAGACTGGCTGCTTACTCTTGTACCATGTCAATGAAATTGTTGTCACTTCCTGTTCTTTTGGCTGTTGGTGCCAAGTTCTAAAAATGTACCTTAATCTAGGAGGAACACCAAGTAAACGTTCCTTCAAAACTCTGCCTGAAGTCCCTTTGACTTTCTCTGATAGTCTTTCTCTACTGATGGTACATCCACCAGTAGAAGACAGAAATCTGTGGATGAGTTTGGACTGGCTTCGTCTTCAGTAAATAATGAGCCTAACAGAGTAGAAGTTCTGCTTTTGTGTGGAGAGATATAGCAGAATTGTTGCCTCTAGTCTGAGACCTTCTTGGTTTTTTTATTCTCTTCCTCCTTCTGCATCATCTATGTTTATAGTGCTGCATTTCAAAAACCTTACTTGCCATAATTTTTTAGAATTCTTATTTGTTCTGTATGTTCTGTCTTTTCCAGGCATGTTTTCTTGGCTTTGAAGTTGCTATGAAGTTTCTTAACTGGATTGCACCAGGTCTATGAAGACCAGGAAGTCTTTGGAAATTAGAGAGGAGAAGGAAGAGTGCAAGTCTGCCTAAAGGAATAAATGAATGATCACTTGAAGTTTCAGGAATGATTGCTTGCCTAACACCTTTTTGCCTTCTTCACGTTCTTTAGGTGGTGCTATGTGCCATTCAGAAGTGTAAGCCATAGCTCTGAAACAGAGTTGATGAGGGGTTAGAGGTGCTACACCTGTCTTCTGAGCCAATGTGCCACAGCAGTAAGGCTGCTAACAGGCAGCTCTCACTCTTACACACAACACCTTCAGTACTTCCTCATGGAAGAAAGAGACACTTCTTAGAATGTAATTCTTTATTTACTGAAGAAACATGTAGCTACTAATGCTGGAAAACTTCCTTAAAATAATTGTTTGGCAGTGCATACTTAGCTCTCAGGGCATCAGCTAGCAGCTGCACATGCTAATATCTGCAAGCAGTGTCAGAGAGCGTTCTCATCTCTTGCAGTTTTTTAGTTGTGGCTGTTTCTGTGTTGACAGTAGTTTTAATCTTACATGCATGTAATGCAGCAAATGGCACTGAGCAGGGAGGCCTGAGCTACGTTTAAAGTGGGTTTTGGGGTATTACAGATACCATATCACACCTTGCACACCCACCTCTGTGGAAATAGGAGGGAAAATGAATTATGCTTAATGTTTCTACTAACCTTCACTAAGGCAGCCAGTAGGGATATGTTTGAGTAACCTGGACTTTTCTCTGAAATCCCTTTCTGTCCCACTGAAGATGTGCTTTTGAAATCACATTTGGGACAGCACAGTTCATAGCAATCCATGATGTATTGGAGTCATCAGATGCTGTGTCCTGGGATTCAATCCCTGACGCTGTCCTGAGAAAATTTGACAGCACATCCAAGAACTCAATTTCTCTGACATGGGGGGATACATGAAGGGGACACTGGCTCTGCAGTCTTTTCTAACTTTATTCTTGCTCCTGTTGTTTTCTTTTAATATTATTCAACATAGTGACTTTTTCATTTGAAATATGACTAATGCTATGAAGCAAAAAGCATCTTTAATTTCTTTTGTTTTGATGCACTGTTAATGGAACTCAATAAAGCTAGCTGCTGCTTGGCTAGAATGTGTGCTTCGGTTCGTTTACTTCTTGCATGGTCATGCATGGTTAGTTTTGCAAAAGTTTTCCAGTTCTTGATTCTGAGGTGTGATTGGGAAATAAGTTGTGCCACGCTGTCTTTAATTTTTAAGCCCTTGCCTTTTAGCTTTTGGATTTCTGACATGAGCCATGGAAATGAATGTTCTGCACTTTGTTTGTCGTACAAGTCTTGTTAGGTGCTGTTTTGCTGACAACTCTTTAATGACAAAGCCAGACACTAAATAACACATCTTGCTTGTGGAAAGTATTTTATGTCTTTCAGGGAGTGTCCTGAACACAGATATAGGGGAGCTTTGAGAAAGTATCTCCTGGTGGCCCATAGGAAAGGAGGCTGAGAGTTTGTCCTTGGTCTGTCAGCCTGTACCGTAAGGACACAGTCTTCAGCTTGGCTTTCCAAGGGCAAGGTCAGCCCAGAAAACATTCCACTCAGTGCTGCTGCAGAAACTATACATCCCCCTTTCCCAGATCTTTGGAAGGACCAGAAGGGAACCTTCCCCAGAGTCCAGCTCTTGCATTTTATGAAACCAATGGAGTAGCCCCTGGTTTGGGAAAACCCTGGTTGCTTGGAGCTGCCTCCACATTCTCACTTCTGCCCTACCCACCATGGGCCATCCCCATTCCTTGCTGCTTAGGAACCTGGTGCTGCTCCTCTTCCCAAAGTCACTGCAGCTATGGATGCACAAAAGCATGAACAGAGTTAATACTGGTTCAGAAGTGGTGATGAAAGGACATTAACCTCTCAAAGGGTTTTATACATGATTCTAGGTTTACTGAGGCAAAATGTGAACTAGTTTCAAGAGGACCAGGTCTGCTTTTATGGCTCTGTGTTAAACAGCAAATGAGATCCTGTATGGCTTTGGTTCCCTACCTGCTCTGGCTGCTCTTCTGATTGTTGTGCTGGGGCTGTGATGCCTAGAAATAACTTTCAGCTTTAAGAAGTTGAAAAAAAGTTGGATAAAGCTGGATTTTTTTCCTTCCATTTTACTTATGTGTTCCAGAAACACTGATACTTCTTGGAGGGACAGTTGTGCATCTTCTTTCTTAAAAGACACTGGTGCTTAACACTGCCTATTCCAGCTGCCACATCAAATGCACCCTGTTGGGCTCCTAATCACACAGGAAGGTAGGAAGAAGTGAAGCATATTCATCCTGGTTGTAAGTGCTGTTCTGGGCTGGTTTATGAGGCAGTTGCCCAGCAGATGGCTGTCTGGGGCTGTCAGCAAGATGGCCAAACCTGCAGGTCCAAAGGCAAGGTCAGGCAAGGAAACGAGCACACCAGCAGCTGCTGGCAGGCTGCTGAGGCTGCATGTGGCAGCTGCAACTTTCCGAGCTGGGCATGAGAAGTTTTATTTCTCTGTCAGGACAGACAGGCAGCTGGGAGACAGGAGCCTCTTCTCTCCATCTGTCCTGCTGAGGAAGACTGATTCTTCAGGGCTGGTGATGAGCTGTGCGTTGTAGTTAGTGCTCCCTCCCATCCCTGTCCTGTTAGTCTGGAGTGCTCCAGTCCATGAAAAACAATTACTGGAAACCAAATCAGGGACTAGTAATGTCCTGGATTCGGTTGCTGGCACTAAGAGCACGGCTGCCCTTCTCTTAGTCTGCATGCTGGCCTCTTCTTTGTCCTCAAGCTTGGCTGTGCTGTCCCCAGCCTCAGGCTTGCCTTCCTGGCCTTAAGCAGTACTTGCTCTGTCCCTACACCCTCTAATACTTCAGCTGTTACTAGTAACTGTAAACTCTCTTCTTTCTGCCCAGCTATCACTTTTAATACTTTTTTTAGAGCATTTCAGATCCTTTGTCCAATTTTAATTATCGTAATTATATTCTCTCCGGTTTGAAGTTTTTGCAGAGCTTGGTATTTTGCATGATAAAATTCTGGGTGTTTAACATGCTTGATTTCATTTGGTGCTTTTAGATAAGTAAAAGATGGAAGAAAGCAATCAGGAATGAGGGGCTGCTTTCCAACAGTAGTGGTGGGAGGAGAGGAGCTTTGGGAAGGCTGAGCAGACACATCTGCTTGTTTGTTCAAAAACAGAAACCCAGGCACCCTGGAAATCTTTAGAAAGCTGCTCCTGTCTCTCAAGATTCTGCTGTACAAAACTGGCCAAATCCTTGCCCCCTGGTGTGTGTGCAGTCAGAACGGGAGAGGGATTTTAACACAGGTACAGTTTCCTGCACACTGAGGACTCTGTTGTGTTCAGAAGCCTGGATTTGTGTTCAAACATCGTTTTCTAGTTGCCCAGCTTCTTGCAGGAATTCAGGTAGTGCATATATGGGGTAATGGTACATAGCAGCAGCTGCTAAGCTGGGTCTCTGTACCAGCAAAGGATACTGACAACATTTCTCTTCATGTTCCTTGTGCTGATAAGAGTATGTTTTTGCTGTATCAAAATCAGCATAGACATCCTCAAGATTATTGTTCTGTACATCTTCCTGGCCCATCCTGCTCTGATGCAAGTGATTTTTCCAGTGGTGATTCAAGGTGCCTAGAAGTATTCCAGAAGTAATCCATGATACGTAAATCTTCCATGCCTGGGTTTCAAATCTTCCGTGCTTGTATTTCTCTGCCCATTGTGTGCAAGTGGCTTTTGTGTACACTCAGCTTTGCTGCATTGCCAGAAAGATCCTTGGAATATCCCTGACGAGTCAGTCTGGATCAAATATGACTAATTCAAGGAAGCTGCCTGTGGGAAGATTACTATGGACTCTCCAGTTTGGAAAGGATAAACAACCTCCACTGCTCTGCCCTGTCTACTGAGCCAAGGCGTCCCACCATCGGTGACTTTCCCACTGGCCTCAGAAGCCCAGGATTGCCTCGAGGCAGCTGTAGAAGAAATACCTCAGTAAACTGGAGGCTGGGATTTTGGAGCTGTGCTCCAGCAAGTGATCTTTCTCCATGGCCAGGGCAGTCCTTCCAGAATGCCCCTCACGCGTGGGATGGTTCTCCTTACAACATCTTGCCTTCAGCCGCAGGGCGTGACTGCAGGGCTTGCGTGCACAGGCCAGGGACAGAGCTGCCCGCTGAGTCGGGGGCACCCTGTGGCACCCTGCTGGTGCCATGGGCTGTGCTCTGCACCCAAGGGCTTCCACAGCGCTGCCCAACTGCTCCCGTCTGCAAACGGGCCCAGCTGCTCGGCAGCTGTTTGCTGGGAACTTTTGTTCCTGGCTCAGAGGATGGCAGGAGGTGCTGCCCAGCAGCCAGGGGCTTCCCAGCTGGGAGGGCTTTGGGTTTGCTGGGATTCCTGCCCCTTCCACGCTCTTGGGGATCCATTTCAGCTGATCTGTGCTCATTCATAACGGGGCTCACCACCTGCTCAGGGCTCTGTCTCACCCTGGTTTACGCCACGCTTTGTCTTTCTGCCCAGTAGACCCTGCCCTGAGAAAGCTGCTTGGTGAAGGAGAGGGAACAGGCTGCCTGGTGCTGGATGCTTGAAATGGAAAACTATTTCTAATTTAGGGAGATTTGTGTATAAAATGGAGCACATTTTCCATTACCTCACCACATTAAAATAGTTCTGTAAGTGTATATCAAACCTGGGAAATATGTAAACCTTCAGTAGAAATTGGACCGGATTTTTACCAGCATGTCTCTGAATTCAGACACTTTAGCTTAAGCTCAGACGGTTCAGTTTAAGCAGTTTACAATGTATAGATTCACCCTAGGCTTACTAGAAGCCTGGCTATAAAGATCAGTATCAAAGTTACAGCAACAGGCTACAGACAAGCTCCACTTCCCTTCACAGGTGGCAGCTGGAATGCAGATTTGCTGAAGTACATGATGCTGTTGCTGATCCTCAGTGCTGCCGAGTGGAAGCCTGAGATGTTTATCCACACATGAGCTGACTTCTCTTCATTGGAGACCCGAGCTTGGGCTTCTCCAGCAGCGCTGCTGCTGCTCTGGGTCTGAGAGAAGTTGCACATGAGCTCTGGATACCAAAGTAAATTTTGAGCTCCCTGGCTATGGATTCCCTAAGGCTGAAATCATATCCTAGCAGCAACATTTCTTCTTGGTATTATTTCCTGATACTGTTTCCTAATAGTTATTTATTGCTGGCAGCTGCTTGCTCCTTCTCTCCACTCGTACTGTCAAAAAATTCTAAACTGCAATTTAGCCTTGAATATTCATCCCAGTAGACCAAAGGCAAGGAAATCAATTCTCTGTCCCTTCCTATCTTTAATCTCTTCACAGATTTCAGCAGAACCAGCTGAAATGCTGAAAAGGTGTAAAATTACAGTGAGTCCTCTAAGCCCATGTGATTCAGAAAAGCTCCTGACTGCCTGCATAGACAAATCCTAAAAAAATACTTCCCTCTGAAACATAATCCTCCTGCTCACCCCCCATCCCTCCCTCCCCACTCACCCTCGACTCCCTATCAATCACT